TGTATCGCGCCCCGGCTTTCATAATTATCTTTTTAACGAAGTAGTGATTGTAAGAAGGAAACGAATTAAGTTCCCGATGCCGCCTTCCGTTTCGCGCATTTCCGCTGGAAATGAATTATTGAAAGGCCCGTCGAAAGTCCCGTATACATTTTGTTTTCTATTATTCCGCAAATCGGGATATTCGAAGGTAATAAATAAGTTTCCCGCTGAGGTTTGATGCTTATTTTAAACTTTTCCGAAGTTTTAAATGAAATTCGCGATTGGCAAGAAAAGGAAATTTCCAAGGAAACAAGGAAATTTGCTTACCAAAGAGAATCTTATACCTAAATTTTAAGCAAGAAACAAATTCTTTATTAGCAAATAAAAATTGCAATGTTTATTTAAATCACTTAAATACATAATTAATAATTCTCTAAAAGCCTCCCGCTTTTTTTTTTAGTGAAAGATCTCGAAATTTCAACGTTTCCAAAAGGAGTTTTCGTCCGCATTGTTATTATAAGACTTTGTGTGTGCTCGTTCTATTAAATTCATTGCTTTAGGAAATAAACTCTCATTGTATATCTTGTTTGTCTAGCTTGTTATTTCATAAAGGCCCGCGGCTCTTTGCGTTTTAAATCTGAAAATTAATTAGCCACCTGATGGTTGTTTGCGGTTTTTCTTCGCTGAAGCGTAACGAATACCTTTTGTGCTTTTTTCCCGGACGGAAATTCGGAAGGGGAATGTAAAGCGGAATGAAGATTTCGCTTTATACACAAACGCGCGTTATTCGATTCGGAGTTAACAATTCAAAATTCGAATAGTTTTTGCGGGCACTGTGCGAATGTCGCCGGCGATCTGCATTCTGCGCCCACTGTATCCCATTAATTTTTTGCAGATATAAATTTCTATAGCTGCATAGTCGCTGCAGCTGTTCATAAAATAAACGATAATTAAATTCGCGCATTAATCAATGCGTAATAATGACCTGTCTGCCGAGCACGCTTGGGACGCGCTGACAGTAACTCATTTTGTCTTCCATCCAACACTGACTGAATACTAGACCATTCTCCGGTCTCGTTTTTTTTTCATAAATTCCTCCTCAATTATCTCCGCTTCATGTTGTACAAAGCGCCAATTTGTCGCGTCAAAAGAACCCTTAATCAGCGAGGTTATGGCAATTTTTGCGAAATCGAACAGCGTTGCCACATTCGCAGACATTTCGCCAATACTCGCGATATTATTTTTTCCCCGCGTTTGCACGTCAGTAACTGTAATTCCCGGCGACACCGCAGGTAAGTACGTTACACGCGAATACTAATATTACATTAAGCCTTTCCCCGGCGCCGACGTAACCTGCGGTTCGTAACGCTAACTGAACGGAAACGAGACAAGGTCGATCCCGCGGGAACCGGAAAAGACAACGCTTCCATCGCCCTGCATATTCATAAGTCGGCGCCCGGGCCGCCGCCGCTTCTTTGCGGTCCCCTCGGAGACGGGGCCCGATTCGCTTGACGCCTTCTTGCACGAAACGACACAGCCAGCGGTGTTGTTGTCGAGATTTATTTTCCGGGCGACGGCGGAAAAAAACGGCCTCGCTGGAAGACGGAGAGGAGCGCGAGGAGACGGTGAAGAGCCCGGCGCGGTTGTAGTTTTGTTGTGCGCGAAACTCTTCGGAGGATTTATGCTTTTCGGGGGCTGATTAATGTGCCAATTGAAGCGAGTAGTTAGACGTATGGACGTTGTTTCGATGTAACTATAAATCACTAAAAGTTTGTTTAAAGGATTATACAGGATGTACCATTACTTCAATGCTTTACGCTCCAAAGAACCAAGAAAAAGTTGAGTATAGTGTGGTACCAAAAAGCTGTTTAAAAATATAATGGGACATTCTGTATACAATTTTAAATCGAAAGCAACTTGCTAAACTAAAGTTTTCGTATGACAGGAAAGTATTTTCTGAATACTGGTAAACAACGATGTACATCATGATAAAAATGCGGAGTGTAGGTATTCAATAACAAGATACTTTGAAGATTTATTGCATAGTCCTTTTAGAGAAGATGTTTGATATTAAATTGAGCGAGTATCGAGCTAAATAAAACCACCAAAACTATAGACAATTTTTGAAACAACTAAAAAACGATTTTTCGTCTATTTATAAACGATAAATAAATTTACCTATAGTGTATAATCAATAAATGTTGAAGGGATTTTTCGTGTAGTACCTAATGCGGGATTTTTTTTAAATAGCATTTCATAAAAAGAGAATTATTGGTATTTCATCCCGGCCAGATGCGGGCCATTAAAGCGGGGAATAACCAATTCAGCGAACAAAAAGGAGCTGCCTATCCTGCAAAACGCCCCAAAAAGGCGTCAGTAACAAACTTCCTCTATTCAAAAAAAAACGTAAAAAAAGAATCTCCTTTCTGGAGACAAATTATGACGGCGATCCCGGGTGAAAGAATAGCTCCCGGATAGGATAACTCCGCGATAAAAATAATAAATAATGACGCATTAACCTGTCCCCAGTCGTAGTTTGTTTCATTTTTAACTCTCGGCATTAATCTTCATGAGTCGCGCTTGGTTTTGTCCCTTCCGCCATAAAACCTATAAATTATTTTCGCTCCTTTTTACGCATATTGACTACTTGGATCATTAATTTTTTCGGTTGCTTTCTGAAAGAGCACTCCCCCATTTTAACTTTCCAATGATTGGAACCTAAAAGTCAAATGCTCATAAAAAATATTAAATTTCATCTCTATAAGATATTCCCCGTTCACCAGGAAATTTTTTCAATCCTGTAAAGGACGCAACAATCATAAAATATAGGGATTTTAAGTTTGTATTTTGTTTAGAAAAAGTTACTAGATTTAACGGGCCACAACTGATTTTTAATTCCCCTAGAATTTAGTGTTTGGAAACCTTTTGTTTAGGTAAATAACAATTTCAACCGACTGGGGTTTAAAATTTTCTACCTAATCGCACACATAAATTAATATCTAATCTGCAATTAGCGTTTATTCGGTAAACATATTCATTAGTATACCTTAATTACACCAATTTCAATATACAAATTCATCGGGCGGACGTACGATGAAACGTTAATGTACTCGTTAAAATTAATGGATGATTTAGTTGAATATTTATGTCGATTTAAATTTACATATAATTGATTGTTAAATATACAAAATGAACGAATTTCATTATACACGCATTAAATCAATCACCCTGTATATAGGTACCCAAATTTCGCTTCAAAAATGGCGTTTGACACGTTATAGTTACGGGAGCTCCCCGATCGGAAATTGATTCAAAAAAAATCGTACGAAATAAATTTTCCATCGAATTTGAACAACGACAAATGCGATTTTATAGTTCCATTTACAAGTCAGTTGATATATTACCTAATAAATTGAATTATTCGCTGCAGTCGGAGCTGTACTAACGCAGTGACGTAGAAGAATTTGACGAGTGGAACTCATTAGCTTCGGCTCCGGTTCGAATAAAAACCGGAACAAATCGGAAAATCGAAATTTTCCGCTTGGTGCATAAAATTATATTGATGCTCCTTGCGGATACAAATAAACGATTTAATAATGTCTATAAAAGCTTAATTTTGCACTAAGTTAGTCTGTATACATACTCATTGAGGAGAGAAGCATAATGATTCTAAATATACAGGGTGATTTATAATAAAGTTGCGCTTACTAAATAAATTTATTCTCTTCTGAGATACATATTTTTAATTTTAAGAACACTCTGTACGAATTACATTTGCATTACATAATTTACAGGCAGATAAATAAAAATTTAACAAGTTTTTTTGGCATATTCCGCGTTGCAATGGCGCACACGAGCGGGCCCCCGGGCGAGCGAGTACTCAATATGTAAATATAGAAATGAAGTTATTTCATAAATCCGATCCCCCAAAAAGCTCCGTCGCAAATTCGGGCTCGCAATCAAGGGACGAATTAAATGATTCTGTCTATTCGCTGCTGTACCATTATTTATTTAAACGAAAATCGACCGGCATTAGTGGCGCGTTTTATTTCGCTGGCCCAATATACGCGGAATCGAATTTATCAATTCGATATCGGAGTAATAATTTTTAGCGTAATATATTTTTGATTTATGCCGCTGTCGCTCCGGCGCATTTTCCCGCAGATAATAAGAGATTAGGTTTTTTTTCGGGAATAAGCGATTTTCAAAGCTAGATAAAATATTCATCGAGTTAGGTACTTTTATTTATAGAACTAATCGTTTGTAAGTAGTTGTGCTACATCAAGATTTGTTATTTTTTTGTAATAAAATAATAAAATTAATATGGAAATTTGTGCTAATATTCAATATACAAAATGACTACTATTTCAATGTAAAAAAAATCGAAATATCAAATGTGTATATACAGCTACATATGACAGGAATAAATCATTGAAGTGTACCACAACGTATGGTAATGTATTCAACAAGAAAAACACAATTCGCAAAAAATACACTACACGAAAATACAGTCGGTGTATACGTAGCCTATTCGCCAAAAGGGCGCAACAATAATTGCATAAATCCGACGATATTTGTACGGGGAATAATAAAAAAAATCGTTTGAAAACGCGACCGAAAAGCCCGCGTTCTTCGATTGATATTTAAATTCGGCGAAACGCTCGAAATGTGACGCAGGCATAACGAGCATTTCCTCCTATCTCGTGGAAATTGATACACAACAATTGGAAATATGTGAGATTTTTCTCCGGGCGAATCCAAGCGTTCGCGATCGTTGTTCGAGAGAAAAAATATAGGTAATTCGTCGAAATAAAATAAAATAAAATACGCGATAGAAGAAAAAATATCGAACAAAAGCAACAGAGAAATTTCACTATAACAACATTGTTGAAACTAATCAAAAAATCATGCATTTAATGTTAATTCAAACACAACAAACGAGCCTTTTATTGTGAAATCGCGGCTGATTAAAAGGATAAACAAAGCGTTTAAACTTTAAATATTTTCGCTAATATTTACAGGTCATTAAAGCGCGATTAATGGATATAATTAAATACGAGCGCCCCGAGCTAAAATACACATACGCGGCGTGCGGGTTTTGCGGTTGTTCTACGCCCGTTTCGTTAGAATTGAGTTTTAATTGTCTGGCAAAAATCCAGAAACGAGGGACCCAGTGCGTTTACTTCTAGTGGAAGTTCGCGAATCGATAGTATTGTTCCAAGTCCCTTGGGCAAAAATTAGGGTTTTCACCAGCAGAAGCTTGAATAAAGATTCGCACAACTCGCAGGAATGTATCTATACTCCCAGGCTAATAATGGATGATAAATGAAAAATTTACATAAATGAGAATATATATAATACAATAGCACATTAGAGTTTTTTGGGTATGGTAGGGGTTAGTTTGATTAACAATTTATAAACAATTATAGTCTGTTTGGTATCAAGAAATAGTCTCCTGATAGCGAACGGAAAATGCGTTGGAAAATTCGTAATATTTCCAAATAATCCGAATCGAATGGAAAGCACGTTTTTCGTACAACAATAAAACTGCACGATAACGAGCATAAATGAGATTTACTGATTTTTGAATAACAAACATTCACTATGCAAATCAATTATTTCTTTTCAACGCACCGGCAAATGGGGCACCGACTAATTTCCATTATCTATGCTATTATTATGGCATTAATCATGTACACTAATGAGAATGTACTCCAATGAAACATTGATCATTTCGATTAGCATTTTGATAATTATTCACGAAGACGCCTCGCGTCGGAATACATTTTTCGATATTTCGGAAATTTCAACTCTTTATAGACGAAACGCGCCATGAATTATTTAAAAAAAATCCGTTAATATCCGCTTTCTTCGATGATTGATAAAGAGTAGCGCCGGCGAACGGGGGTGACGTATAAATCACGTTAAAGACATTTCCTATTAAAATTCGCATTCGGAACTTTCGGGAACGAGCACAGCCATTCCCGCCGACGGATTTCCACTTTGCCTAACCCTCGACAATCAAATATTGTCATCGCTTTGTCTCGTTCCGAGTGGATTTCGTTCCGCTTTGATTGATTAATGTACAAAGATCGACTTGCACGCCCAAATATACCGTCTATTTGAAGGTAATTACAATACCAAGAGGAATCGCTGTGGGAGTTTGGCGTTATCATCAGCCGGATATCCACTAGATGTGTATATAAAACAAAAAATGTGTGAAGAAACACCGGGAGATGTTCCTCAGAATTAATAACGGGATTAAAAAATGCTATTAATGAACATAGTCTCAGTCAAAGGGGTGGTTCCACCCTTTGGAGTTAAACGGGGATGATGATACTTGGTGGACATCAAGATAAGATATAAGGCTATTCCTACTGAAAATTGCAAAAATCTAGCTTTGCTACATCCAATTTTGCCTGGCTTCAAAAAGTGGCATGCTAATTCGCTAAAAATATGTCAAACATCATATTTTCTCTAAAGCCTTATTGCCTCTGTAAGGAAGTTTTTTAATATCGCAAAGGGTCAGAAATTTTATTATAATACCGAAACGTTTTGATTGCCGTGGAAAGCGACGATCGTTAAACCGCGACCGCCGTTATACCTTCTAATCTCGGCTTTAGGCCCCCTTTTATCATCGAGGGGCCATCTCTTTCCGCCATCATTCGCAATTGTCTTGTACACTTACGCGGCCCGAGCGGAAATGAATCCGCAGCGCTTTCACCTACATTCACTTAACCGGGGTCATACTCGAATACTCGATGTTATTAATTAATTTCCGCGTTGCAAAGCGCGACGAAACGCGCGGCTATTAATAAAACGCTGGGAATCGTTAGAAAGCCGGCGCTGAAATATGACGTCTTTTTTACCGAGCCGTCTATAAAGCGTCGCGCTGCGAAATAGAAGGAAAAACGTTAATTAAAATTAGGCTTATCACTTACCGCATTGCCCCATGAAAATCCAATTAATCGCTTTGGAAGACGTCCTAAATATGTTTAGGACGAGGTTTTTGTTTCCCCAACCGCCGAAACTTGCTATTGATATCGTTTAGACGGCTTAACAGGACCGGATTTCACTCAAAATAGCCCATTTTTACACACCTTTTTTTACTTCAAATTACCACCAACATTTATCTCAAAATAACATGACAAAAACAATATTAATAAGTACAGAATAATACCATAATCTCTGCGTGAAAAGGATCACCAATATTAGAATGTTATATAAATAATAAAATAACAGATAAAATGGTTTTAAAACACAATGAAGCCTCTACGCAGCTGTTGAATTGAATTACCGCTTAATTGAATACTAAAATGCGATTTTCGGCATAAATTACCATATTAAAGCGTAATCGAGTTCATTAAAGGTTTTTGCCGCGTTTATACGAAAAAAAGTCGGGTTTTATTAATTTAAAACGAGCATTTAATGGCGCCCGGCATCTGAAAACCCGACTCTGTTGCGAACCGCGATTAACGAGTTCATAAAGGGTCGCTTCGAAGGATCAACCCTTCTCTCGGGGGCAAGAAATATCGGAAAAAACGTGTAGTCGGGCGAAGGGAAATTAACGGTCGGGTATTTGTTAGCAACCAAATCGGTAAATCTGCTAATGGGCCAGAAAAGGAGAAGAAAGAAATTTCGGCCGTCGGGTTTCCCCGGGAAAGAATTAGAGTGCGATTTGCTGAATGAGTAATTAACGTTTAATTTCTTTATTTTCCGGCGATAA